TTTTTCTCTGACTGGAAGAAACTGGTTGGACACAAAACAAGTGGAGAAGTGTGCAAGGCCGTACTTCAGAAAGTATGCGTTACTGATAAAAAGTAAGAAATCAACTGAAATTTCACACAAAATTGAGTCTCAACCAAAGAGATAACCAGGAGGATGATGAGAATAACTGGTTAGTGTACTCCATATGAAATTCATGGTGGTGCTATTGAGTCAAATTTAGGCAGGTGGAAAGTAAACCGCAGTTTCGGAGACCGATTCCCAGAACCAAGATAACGGTAAGACAAAGCATCACCTAAAACAACGTTTGGTTGATAAAAGCCTTGAAGATTCTAGGCTTGGACAAAAGGCCTGAGTACGAACAGTCCTACAACACTATTGCCTTTGCTAAACAAAAAACTTGTGAGAATTTGACTCTAAGTGCTTAAAACCCAGCAACCTTTTCAGGAATTGCAGAGCACGGCGTAATTAAAATGGCCCAGCTCTGCTGCCTATTAGCAGAATCTGAAGCTTCGTAACGCAGGCCTGAAGAGGGCTTGTGAGCCCTACCAGGCTTCTTAAACTACGTCAGCTGGTCTAGCACAGCAAAACCAGGAAAGTCTTCTGTATTTTAATAGTACGATATTTAAAAACAAGGCCTCTGTGTCATCAGTAGCTACATACGGAAAGACACGGCTGCACCCGGTAGAAGTCACTCCACACTTGACAGTGGAAGTTCTTCACCGACTACCTCAGCACCTTGCCCACCAGAAGCGCAGCTGCATCCGTTAGCTTCGTTACTCTCACACTTCTATTGCTCGCGTCTATCTGAAATTACAAGATAAACTAAACCCCAGGAAATTCCAATTAAACGTAAGAAAACTTTCTTCCCGTTAGGGTGGTATGGGTTCGTAACAGTACCGTACACTTGGGTATGTATCCACCAACCCCAACCGTGCTGTGATTCTGCGAGTCCCTATTTCACGGTCTGTGGAAGATTTATGGAGTAATTTAAAAATGAGACTTTCGATGGCCTTTGCTGTAAGTACACGTGTTGTCTCAAAAAGCACCTGTAAAAAGGCAGTCTCAGAATTCTTGTAAAATAATTACTTGATGCTTTAAAAATTCTACATCTCAGCTCTTGGCTGAGGCATACTCGGTCACAGACTTCTCTCTTTTGCAACGTTAGCCACAAAGGAAGCTACCCAGCAAACGCACACCGCGTGTCTACATCATACGGCCTTCACCGGTCTTCTGCGTTTAATTAGAATTTAATAATTAGCTTCCATGGGGCCTGACAGCAGATACAGACCTTGAAATCCATCTCTCTGTTAGCATGTGGCTGAACACACACACGCAGCAGTGCTTTTGAAAATAAAGCAGTAAGTTCTCTCTTTGAATTTGAAATAGTGTCTTCCTAGGGATTTTTAGGTGCAAAGATGTGAACAGCAAGCGAATGAAAACCAAACGTACATGTTTTTTTAAAAACCTTGCCTTACACAGTCACACTAGAATTATGTACCTAAAATTCTACCATCTGAACAGACACATGCAAACTTCTGTTACTGAAAGAAAATCCTTTAGAATTCAGTTTATAGCCGTGTACGTAAGATGGCAGTGCTTATTATAACTACCAGTTGCTTTATTTGAAGAAGCGCAAGAAAGCATATGCAGCAAACTCTGCAAATACTAAAAAAAAAACCCCCAAACCAAATGCTACAACAAATGTAAGTTAGTATCTCGTGTTAGTATGATGGTGACAGCATACACGCCTCTGGGCACTACATCACCAAACTACATCGTCTAAGAACAGGGCCCGGACGCAGTTGTTGGAGTGCAAGCAAGCGGTTACACGCGTGGCAGCAATAGCTTCTCTCGGGTAAGGTTCAGCTTTCATTAATGGTCTTGTTTGTCTCCAGAAGGCACCGAGGAGTTTCGCTGGTCTGGCCAAGAATTTGCAAAAAGACCGGTCGATTTTCCCATCGGTGCTACTCTCAGTTTGGATACACCGCGGGTACCTTGTACATAGACGGTGAACCACAGAGAGTGTAAAGTCTATTTAAACACTGACTCCTCTGTGGTCTGTTGCATTTTGCCCCAAAATGTTAGGAGAAGAGTGTAATTTCCATGAAAATCAGACAACCAGTATTTTTAAGCCACTTTTGGAGTTCAAGGCTGACAGAACCTTCACATGCAGAATATCCAGAATGTGTTTCTGTAATTCAGTCAAGGGCAAGTTATCGGGCTGTTCACATTTGCTTCCATACACTGACAAAATCAAGAAATTCCACAGTTGCACTGAGAAAGATTATGGAGAAATGCGAAACTATTAAAGACGTGCTCAAATTGCCAATAAAATAATAATGTCTAAACAAGATATTCAGATACAATGTAATATGTTTCTTTATTTTTTTAAATCCAATTTGTAAAGGTCCCTTTTTAAACAAAACAAGAACAAAAAAATCAACACAATTCAGAGGGCTTATCTCATTTACCATATTCTTCCCCACTCATCACTTATCATAACACAAAGCAGCAACTTATATTATTAGTGCTCATATAGTGCACTTATATGAATTTTGATTTGTGTATTAAGCTTTAAATACAATGTATTTTCCGTGAGCATAGCCCAAAGAGTACACAACATTACATTTCCAAAGCGTATGTTAAAAAAAAGGACAATAAATGTATATCCAAGACAGTCAAACTCAAATATTTTGACCTGGCAAATTCTCTAACAAGTAACAGCAATTTTAAACTGCGTACAAAGCGGAACAGTGCCGACATGCCTCCGGTGTGTGAGCTATGGTAAAATACCAAGCGTACATATAAAGGAGAGAAGCCAAAGAAAACCGCCACAAATTCAGAGCTAACCCGAGGCACAGCCAACTGCGACCGAACGAAGGCAGCCCGCTTCCCCAGTCTATAATGCAAAGAGCCCAGCAACCACGAAAAGCACTTCTACGCTACAGAAAGTGAAATGGTAACTTCTTCCAATTTTGCCTCTGCGTTTTTAAACAACTTGTTCAAAAAATTTAAAGATGAACATCTAATTATACCAAACAAATGTACAAACTATAAAGTCAGAGAAGCTCCAGAAGATTGCCACTTTCAACCTTGCATAGTGATAGCTGGCATTGATATTGCTACCATAGCTTCAGCAGAAGGTATGGAAAAGAAAAATCTTTACTTCTAAGTGATGCACATACGTAACATTTTCTTCACAAACTTCAGTTAAACATTGTTTTAATAAAAGGGAAAACAGCTCTAAAAAGGGAAAGATAGTGTTCACAAGCTTAGAAATAAAAAAATACAAACCCAGAACATTCCATGATAAAAAAATGAAAATAATAAACATTCCATCGTAACAGCACCTATTTTATCACTAAATAAGCCCCATACATGCAACAAACTACAACTATTGTATAAGGCTGTCAAATTAAAGGTTTACTTTTCATATAAACAAAGTGTAAAAATAGCGGTAAGTTGCAATCTTCAAATTTAATGCTATGTGAGGATTTTGTCCCCCCGGTTTCATTTGGTAGCAATTTCAGTATGCGTTTGATACAAAGGTCATCCGTCTAGGAACCGTGATACAAATACATTGTGCCTAGGACAGTATTGTCGTATCTCTGTTCAACCGTGACAGAATTGGAATGCTCAACAACGCTACTAAGTTCGGGGATGCTTTCAGCGGTATCCCCAAACCCATGATAGTGTCCATAGTGCAAGGTATCTCCAGGGTCTTCCACCCACGAGGGCCGGCTAGAAACACAGCTGCTCGGGCTTCCGTTCAGATGTAGAGATCCACACATATCGGTGGAATTATTCATGGCCTTTTCTGGTTCCTCGGTGCCGTTACTGGTATGAATTCGATGCCTACTGGGAGAAGTTATTCCAGGAATTATTCCGTTAGGTGTTAATGACAAACACTCCTCGCGCCTGGCATCCATCCCGCTGAGCTGTTGTGCGGCGGTGAAATCCAAATGTCCATTGATGGCACATCCATTTGTCAGTGCATTCAGTATGGAGCTACTGCTATTCATATCTGCATTAAGAAATACACCTGTCACCAACAATTAAGAATAAATCGAAATACATCAAAACGTCTCCACTATACTCCACTTATTTTAAAAAAGGTTTCCATACACAGCTTTGAAAATAAATCTACCCTTTCTTTATTTATAACAATATAGGTAGTTCAAAGTAACGAGAGCTGACCACTAAGCTTGCAGCACGGATTCTTATGTTGAAAATGCAGCTAGCTATCCAAATGCAACCTGTGAATATGCCTATATTAATCTTCGCAAAGACAACGTGAATTTCTCAGGAGCTTTTTCATTTAACTGTATGAACTAAGTGTGGCAGACAACATTCTGGGCAGTGTTCTGAAAGGTGGAATAAAAGGCATCTTCCCACCTTAATTGTAATGCCCTCTTGGGATGAAAGATTATGTAGATACAAGAACTGAGTATCTGTGAGAGCGTGAAGGGTTGGGTTTTTTATTTTTCAGCTGTAATTTATCCGTGGCTCTTTTTTGTTCTTTTTAGTGCTCTCACAGTACAGTATACACTGAAATAGGTCAAAGAAAGAAATGGTACGTTGCGGTGCTAATAGAAAATGTTTCAAAGTTCCTTTATTTAGAAAGCGCTTCAATTTATCTAGCTGCTTGCTACAGAACATACTAGGCAGGTTTGCATTTAATGGTAAGCTTATAACATCTGTACAATCCACATGCAAAATGCCATACAATAGCAACAGCAGAGTGTACAGAAGACTAAAAAAGGCTAGTAGTAAGAAACGAAATTCTAAAAATGTGCATGCAAAAACCACCGACAACTATTTTAAAGCAATTTCTCCTTTGAATTTAGTAATTAGTACAATAGTTTTTATTTCCTCAAACAGATTTCAGCAGTATGTCTGAAACATATGTTTTTGCAGTGGTACTCAAAGTACTAGCACAAAAAAGGGGTGATATATTCTGCCTTAAAAATGCCTACTGGTAAAGGACGTCTAAAATTTACATCTATATTGGTAAAGATGAGCGAGGCAAACGTAGAAACTACAGACCTATATGGTGACATTTGAAGATTTTACATTCCATTATTATCCTTGGATACATGCACATATGTTTATGTATACATGGATGCATAAACCAGTGTGCAAAACAGGACTGCATTTACTGCGTATTTCCAATTCAAGCCAGTAAGCCTGTTGGTAACTTCCCACATTTGTAAAACGCTGGGTTCCTGTTTAAGTGACACATAATGAGTACCACTGTTCGACAAGGAAGAATCTGAAGTTTTGGTTCTCCGTTAGTCCTTCGCATGGATATTATTTGAAATACGGATTACGATACTGATACTTCACATACAGCAATACATAATGCCAAGAAACGTGTTCGACTTGTAACTCGGTGGATGTACTAACTGGAGTTTCCTGTTTAGTCCCTATATGGGTTAAAATAACCGCATCAGCTGAACTCACTAACCACAAATTCTTATTGAAAGTGGAAAAAAAAAACCCCAAACCCATCAAGACATCAAAGCTAGTATTTCAGTGATGAAAACGCACAGAAGGAATTTCATATAGTGTTTATTAACTGGAAAGTGCAAAATTTTAATGTTTAAAAATAAATCCTTATAGGCTGGCTTTGCCAAATCAAATTTAATAAAAATGGCACTACTGTTAGTTAATATGCAAAAGTAGGTAATGAATAGTTCTAGTGATAATTATAGAATGTTATTATTTGTTAAAAATTAGCACCTATAGTAATAGAGTATATTTATGAAAGACAATCATTTTCCCATAAATAAGAACACTTAGTAATTATCACTGGAATATATCATAGTCTACTTTTTAAGTACTGATTATATATATATATATGTATATATATTTATTCCTAATATATTAAAAGATCTATTATCATTCCCTTTGGTGAATCTGATCTGTGGTACAAAGCATAAACATATTTATGACAGAACAAATTAAAGTAAGAAATCAATTTCTGAATATAATAATGCACTATCATAGTAACTCCATGCCTTTACCTACAAAGTGCATGGAAAAAGCTGACCCAAGACAGTTTTAATCAAAACTCTATGCACATCCTGGGGTTACCAAAAGCATCTTGATTAAGCAGCCCTTAAAAAACTTAAGAGCACTAATATTCACTGATACTAGCAACATTTTGACTGTGTCATGAAGATCGGTACAGAACACAAAAACTCTTTTCCAAGGTACGTTAGTTCCAAATACTAGTTTAAGACCTGTGATGTCCAGTCTTTTATTTACATAACCCCCCCCCTAGCAGGATCCTGCACTTACATCATCGTGTCTGAACAAATTCTGGACACATGGCATACGTCTAGACCATCCTTCATAGCATTTGTCAAACTATTTTGAATATAGCTTAGTTGTAACATACATTATTTTCAAAGCTATATAAGCACTAGGATATGTTTCCCAATCAAGTCTTCTTATTAGCAATTAAATCTCTTTAATGGATATGAAACAAATAATTTAAATTATTTCTGGATTTCCTTTAACCTGAAATTACAGCAACTAAAAGCAAGGCACAACGCAATCCAAGCCTCAGGTTAAAAGTGAACCAGCCATTGTGGATTTCTGTTTATCCAAAATAATAGTAAACTACTAATAGACCTTCTCTTTCACCATTACAATATATTGCATGAAACAGCTAATTTTAGATACTACTAAACTCCCAATATAATGGGTCTTACAGCAATACAATAGTTTTCAAGACTCTAGACAACAATGTGCAAAAATAAAGGACTAAGTTTTATACTTAAATTAAAAATAAAATGCATATTGATTCTTGCAACGACAAGGAGTTTGCATTGCAGAAACAGTGTATATCTCAATTTCTTTTGGTCCAACAGAAGTACTCTCCTGTTGTTTGGTGTCTTCAACCATTTGAATGTTGTTGTAGTTAACAGGAAACTGTCCACTCCCACCTGATACAACAGCAAACTCTCTATCAACGTGCATATTGTCAGCATCGTCCTCAACTCCTCCATTCATCATTGGTATTAAGCCATCAAAGCTGTAAGCTGATAAAAAAAAAAGTCACATTTAGTCACTGGTGCGCACTTGAAAACTCACCCAACAAACAGATGAGTACTTTGATCATTAAAACAAAAGCTTTTTACAAAGAAATGTAAATTTTTCACATCTGAAAGCTTCTGACGTTTGAAATTCCAAATGCAGATTAAGTAAACGCTAAGTACTTGCACATCCATTTTAATCCCTCAAAATGGAGAATTACCAGTGTACCTATCAGACTTTGCACCTACATACCAAACAATTATTAGTCTGATGGACTAATGGAATGAATGAAGAGCAATTTAAGTTACTCATATTTAGGCTCTACAGCTCGTGTGCCCGATAGCTAAAAAGCAGTCTCCACCTCAAATGTCTTAACTGTCAGTCGGGACTGCTCCCTCTTTCACCACCAAGTGCCAGTTCCCAGTAACCCACCCCCTATTCATACCAGACTGCTCCAGAGAGCCCTTCAAGAGCTGAACAAACAGATCTCTCTTCCGAGAAAAGCCGGCAAGTGGTTAGACTGCTGTGGGAAATGCTTTAATTAGCAAGATGGGCTTGACTTCACTACCTCTTATACCCACCGCCCGAGGCACTGCTCCAGTACTACCCCAGCAGACCCTGCACTGCTCTCACACTGACATTAACACACCTTTCCATATACACTGCACACACTCTTAACATTATGTTGTAAAGGGCTACTTTAGTAGACTCTAAGTCAGCTCTCATTACCTTGGGCACAACAGAAATTTTCGTAAATTACTCTTTCTTAAAGAACCTTAAGCAATAGCTAAAGTGTTTCAGGGCCAAAGAGATCACACGGGGCTTAAAGGAGACCAGGGCCCTTGGATCAGTGGGCTTCAAACTACCCTGAACCAGGAAAGGCAAGGCATTTTTTCTAGTTACCTGCAGGAATATGGAAGTGCAGCTTCATGCTGGCCAATTCAAGGGCACACGTGGCAATACCTCCACCCCCACCTCTCCAAGACACCTAAAAGCAGCCGGGCTGAGGCTCGTGATACTGATACAGTCAGTCACCGGTTGCGTACAGCAAGTCAGTACTGTCTGCAGCACGTACAGCAGAGTGCAAAAGCCAACCTGCCGAGGGCCACGAACCAGAGGGGCTAGGATTAGGACTGCCGCGAACACACCCGTGTGACCAGCTGGCCTGGTGTGCACCACCCTCCACCAACCAGCCCAGGAGGCAGGGTGAAATTTCTGGAATTGATTTCAGAAAAATGGACATAAAATCCAGCTAATGTTTCTAAGTCAAAACTATTTGCTGTACATTCTGAAAGTGGCCACTGATTGACTTTTGTTAAGTTCAGCTTCAGCCTTTGGTACTACTTTTTGTATTACATTTGAAGAAAGTAATTAGTTTGTATCACAGTATATTGTGTATCAGTATTGCTTAATTTTGAGACGGAAAGTTTTTTAATGCTATGCACCCGATAGCAGATACGTGTGTGCGCACATAAACGAAGCTGCATGTAAGCAACCCCCACCCACTGCCCAGTTTAGCTATTCCAGGAGGACAACGGGCGAAGCACGGTTTAAGTACTTCTCTTCTTCCAACTCAATTGCTTACAGGTTCTTGTAAGGGGCATATACCATGCCTGGTCACAAGAAGTAGGTTTTTTCAAAGCAGCGGTTGTTCCAATTTGGGGTATGGCCATCAAAACCTGACTCTTCCCTGCAAATACAGGTTACCTGCACTCTCTCTGAATATCTGGAATCTCCTGTGCAAATAGTCCTTAAAGGACAACAGACCAGAGTGGTTTTGGTACGGGCAAAATTACCACAAAATTGGGCTTTTTTTGTAAAAAGGCTAGCTAAGCACAAAGACGTACTCATAAGTTCTCATCACTCAGCTCTGTTGTTTACAAAGCGCCCCAAGAACAGTGGTTCATTCTCACTCCAATAGACGTTTTAGGTTGATACGATAGATATTACTGATGCTGATGTCTTTGAGGGGAGACGCGTCAGATTAGAAACTTCAGCTTCTGCAGCTGGGATGCTTCTCTTAATTACTACAAAAACCTCCAAGCAAATGCAGCAAAGCTTTTGGCTTTGTTTGCAAAGGTCTGAAGAAGTCATACTGGTAAAAATTTCAAAAATTACCTACTCTGATTGTTTCTCTAACACCCCTGTAATTGCTTAGGAGATCTCGTTCACTTAAACGTACTGTGCATTTGTTTGCTTGATCTAACTTATCCACTGGACCAACTGTTTATGCTGAAAGGTAATGCAGATACTGCCATTTCATGACAACATATAGAATAAAAATAGCTAGCCCAGTGCCACTCCCACAGATTGTGGGGAAATGCTACCTATTGACTAGATTGGAGCCATTTTCTGCAACTAAAAGAGATTGCTGGTTACGAACATTCAGAAGGAATAGCTCTTCAAAACAAAAGATATGGAACTCTGACTTAAAGCAGCGCCTCCTGGTAACAGAATGTGAATGCATTGAAGACATCTTTTCCATAGCTGTTACAGGCATCTTTATACTGTGTAAGTTTTCTCATTCTATGTAGCTACTTAAGGACTTTATTCTTGAAAAGCAATCTTGCATTTAATTGCACAGGCACTCTACTCCATCATGAAATTATAGTTTAGACCAACTACATGAAGTAACATACCCCGTTTATGATCGGCTATGGAGTACCCCGTTAAGGCCTCTGATCCTGGTATAGTTGAAATGGTGGCTGGATAGCAAGTACTAAAGCAAATACTACGGAGTGTAAATACTGATGTAATTTATGTTGTCCATGTCATATTTAGAAACATTGTTTTGGTCTCAATTCCCCTCTTGTTATCTGGAATGAAGCACTTTTTGAGCCCATTTTATTTGAGCCTGTTTTGAGCTCACTGAAAGTCACACCCATTAGAACAATATAAAACTTTAACTGACGAAAGTGTCTTCAATGAAGACCTACAAAGTCCCTTTCCTGATGCTAAACGCAGGAAAAAGAAATAAGGTTTGAGTGCCGAATGCTGCATTCTTTTTAATAAGAATTTAATGGGATGACCAACAATGTTGTCTATCGTGTTATTCATGGTGTTTGCAAGAGGTAAAAAAGATCTCTTCATATAGCCACCAAAAAATACCTTTGAGGTTGTACTATCGCATCATTGCTGGCAGAGGAAGAAGCAGTATCCTCAATGCACAAGGCTGAATAGGACTCCTTAAGGTTCATTCTAGTCTTACATCCTCCTGTAAGACATCAGTTCCCCTTGGAACATGATCCTGGAAACTTAAGGTATGTTAACTTCATGTCACAGACATAATCCCTCACGATTTGGGAAACCTTTTCGCATTAAATTTCTTTCATCCACCTTATCTATCAAACAGTTTTTGAACTGTGAATGAATCCCTAAGTGGAAAATTACCATCAGAACATCCAGGCATCTTTGTGAATTAACGCAACATTATTCGGCTCTCCTGAAGGAGAAGAAATTGAGGAAGGAGTAGAAGCTAATTTCAGCTCCTACTCTTCCGCATATTATTCTTGGCATCATGTAACTTTAGCACTCTCTGGAAATAGAAATTTCAACACACCAAGATGATGACAGGGAGAATCGGGATCTTGTGGCATGGAATAACTGTATTCACCTGCTTCTTGTATTAATATGTAATTTAGATATGTACGTGAGTTTGTCAATAACACTCAACACCCACTCTGAAAGGCTTTAAAATGTTTATTTTCCTTTCTCGGCAACAGCATCACCCCATCCCTTTTACCTCTAGGGTCTCACCTTCCGTTCTAGCCTTCTTTACTCCAGCAGACTCTGTATCTTCAAAGGATCTCTTTCGACTTGTCCCACCACTGAATGGATTGGGACCTGCATTCTGATGAACCCCATTTAAGGTGCCATTGCTATAGAAACGATTCAGGTGACAGTTCTGGAGGTTCAAGAGAAACTGGGCACATTCTTGGAAGCCCTGGGTATGTGCAAGGTCTGCTGCTGTCAGGCCACTGGCATTTCTCAAGCTGTACAATACAAAGAAACTGAATTACACTCATTCATCAAGCTAGCTTGCTGCTGCTGCTGCCCTTACTGACTATCTATCTGTTGGTGATGAGAGAAAACATACACTTAGCAAATTTCCATTAAAAAATTAGTTATCAATCTTAGTTTTATAACTAACTTAACTTTTCGCACATATATCTGGCTTCTAAGCAAAATTTGGGAGACAATACACTTTTAAATAAAATCAATATACTATGTGCCTTAAAAAAAAACATCTTCCTATTTAAACTTCTCAGAAGGCTTTATTCTAAAATAGTCTGAAGTATCCGATCTTTACATAAACTTCAGACTAATTTAAGCCTTGAATTTTACCATCTTCTGCAGTTTATTCTGCAATCTATTGCTTTAACTTGAGCAAAAGGTCAAATACTCAAAACAAACTTAACATGACTTGGCAATTGTCCATGGCATTCTGGTTTCTAAGGTAACAACATCATCACTATTCTTCCTAACAATAAAATATATACATATATAGAAAAAGATAGATAGATAAAGATGCTATACTTAGTTATGCTTTGCTTATACTTTTTTTTTTTCTGGTTTGTTTCTCATTTCAAAGTGTGTGACATCATAAGTGCTGGGACTTTTGTTATTTGAACCAAGACTTTTCCACGCACGAGAGAATGGCGCTGGATTTTGAATATTCTAATGCATCAAGGAGATTATAAATGAAATCAGGTAGGACATGTAGAGATGTAGAGGTTTAATTTGAAAGAGTGCTGTATCACATGCATTTACACAAACATACAGTATGTCTGTGCTTGGAAATATAGGGTAACTTCATAAGTAAGTGCATAAAAGTGGAGACAAGAGGGCTAGAAATGACAAAACTAGATCATGAAGCGAAAGATGCCAATAAACCCTTCCTAAGGTTTTTCTGCCTTTCCACAGAGATCTAACTAGTCAGAAAATTGAATTTTTGTTTCTTGGCTTCAGTAGACAAGTCCATTACTTAAAAATCCAGAAACAGACCAGCCAACAGAGTAAGAATTCAGAAGATTAATAGATCCGATTCTGTTGAAACTCATACGAAATGGAAAACAACTCACCCTAGCTCATGCGAAGAAAAGAAAGCCCAGCTTTGCTTCTTAGATCATTGCAATTTATTTGCTATAAAATGAGACTAAAAAAATCTTTAGAAACTGACTATTACAGAAAGACTAATCCCATAAATGGATACAGCTCGATTACACAAAATTTGGAAGAGTAAGTCAAAATACTACAGAATCAGAAAAATCATTAGGCTAGATCAGGGTAATTTCATTCCATACTACCATATTCTAAGTCAACATTTACTTGGACTACTAGTGAAAATCCAAAGAACAGCAGCCAAGAGTGGCCTAGAAAGTAAGACTTTAGAAGACTGAAAAACCTTGTTAGTCAAAAGAAATGAAACCTCAAGGTAGAGGTATTGGTTTTGAATACCTAAAAGATGGCTGCAAAGAGAATAATCTGTTCTGTGCGTCCAGTACAGGCAGTATATGAATGGCATTAACATGAACAAAGGATATTTGAAGTTAGGCATTAGGGGGAAGTTTCAGAGTATAAAGGTCGCTGAATCTCCACAGGGCTCTCTTCCCCCCCCTCGTTTTAAAAGCAAATTATGATTTCAGAAATTCTGCAGTCAATCCTTTCCCATGCTGAACTAGACGGCCTGTTGAGGTTCCTGCTAACCAACGTTCAATACTCTTTTGGTAGTTCTCATTTGCTTGTGTAGCAGTGTATGGACCTAACACAATGCAACTACAATTTACGAAACAGAAATTTCAACATATCTGTTTTGAACAAAAAGAATAGCTCGGTTCTCTGGAATCCATTTCAAATTTGCGAGCCCCAAAAGGACAGTAAAGGAAATCTGAACAAGAGCAAATTAAAGTTACGCAAAGATAAAAACAACCAAAACAATATGGTGTTGACTGACCACCTAATTTAATAAAACTTCAAGGAGTAAGTAATTCAATTACTTAGCAACTGTTATTGAACAGTATCTCTGCTTTGAAAAATGGACTGTAAGACACACTACAGTTAAGTCACCCTTTCCCAACGGAGTGTCGATGTAAGTTGCCAGAGGCATCTGGAGATGTACAAACTAAGATGGAAGTGTGTAAGGCTACACGATCAAACTCCGGGAAAGAAAAGTTTCGTTTCCCAGAAACAAAATAAATGAACTTTAAGTTAGTGTTTGTCAGATTCTAAAATGTAATGACCTGTGATAATTTTAGATCTGTCCCCTTCTTCCCATCTCTTCCTGAACAGCTTACTCTTAACAGGTACACAAAGATGTACTTGCTCTACAGGAGTATTTTGGAAGTACTGCATAGGTTTTCAAGGGACTCAAGCACATTGGATATAACATTCTTGCTTCTGAGAGTTTAGAAATGTATCTCTTAAAAATCTGAATCTGAATTTAGCCTATCAATTTCAAGAGAACTTCCTGTGTTCAGAAGTTAGTAATGAAAAAAAGAGAGGGGAAAAAAGTTAAATCAAATAAAAGGAGATTACAGGATCTAGATCACTTTAGAAACTGTCTGGCCAACTCCTACGAAAGAGAACACAACTGTTAAGTTCTCTCTGCTCCCTCTCAGTGGGAACGCTGGTTTTCTTTAGCTGATTTTTCTAGCCTTCTCTAGGAGGAAAATCTGTCATTGGAACACAAAAGGCAGCAAGAGCTAACCGTGCTATACTAGCTCATCATAACAAAATGCAAGTAATCCAAGAAACAATGGCTAACTCAATTAGCCACATGCACAAAGTAGGAAAGAAAACGCTCTTAACAGGTATGACAGAGTTCTACCAGACTGGAATAGTTTTATGGATTTCCAAAACATGTAGAAATACTGCCATCACTATGAGGATTCTGAGCGCATAACAGAAAAATACAGTCTTACACAGTCCTTCTAGAAACCCTGAAGTGGAGTACTCGAATGAATTAAAAAGCTAGGACATCTACTAGACCATTCTTTAAAAGCGCCAGTCTGGACTTGGAGTGGTACTACCCTGTTACAGCAGTAGTTACAAGGAACTGGGAACACATCTATTACTAAATCTGCAGTGTATGGTCTACCTCAAATGCTGCCAATGTCTGAAAATGAAGCAGCTACCTCAGCTTAGCCCATAAACTAAGAATATAAAAGCCATTAATGTAAACAGACTCCATTATAGGAATGAAAATAGAAATGGTTCACTGCCCCAACTACACATAAGAGTAAGAGGAGTTCAATCTCTCATGTGTAATCCCTATGTCAGTCCTTGGTTATGAACTGCAATTTTATGTAAACTGACTATCAAGTGAAAAGAAGGAGGAGTAATAAATGAAGATTCATTTGGCTATTAAGTAGACTATATGAGACATGTACTGCATGGTTAAAAAAAAATAAATCAACAAGCAGGAAACTCAGAGAGGTAATCACTATATTTAAGTAAGTTTTCAACTACTTCTGTTATTACAGATGTCCCTTGAAAGGTATTTTTCTTCATTTCTCATAGTTGCCTACATAAAGAAAAAGGATTTGACTAGGTAAAGGATATTATAACTGAAAGTAACTTCAAGACCCGGGCTGTGAAAGAAAAGCAGTGGAAAAAAAAAATGTAAACCGTTGGACAACATGGACAGAAATACCTCAAAATTTCATGTGTCTTGAAAAAAATCCTCTTTTCCACCCACCCTCTGTTTTTTTATAAATTAATAAATCCCTTCAGTACTAGTTTTGATCTTCTACCCTAAACACCTTGAAATAGCGGAAGCTGCAAAGCTCAGAACACGCTGATATTAAATCTTCAGGCAAGCTGCCCTTTTGTTACTGCTAATCATACAGCAAATATGACAGCTCTATTTCTGTATCTGCATTACTCAGAATTTAAAAACGAGTAAGGAAATTTCCTGCAGGTTTTGGTTATGCAGGAATTTCCTGCAGGGTGGTTTGTTGTTTTGTTTGGGGTTTTGTTCCCCCCCCCCAGCAAAGATGCTGAACTTGAGGACAAGCTTATGTTTCTTTTCAGGGTTTTTCTTTAAGCTAGGCTACCTAGTTGAAACAAGACTAGGCAAATAACAAGCTACATGGACTGATATTTTTCAAAGATGATCTTATGAAGGAAGAAGCTACCAACAAGGAAGGTGTGGAAGGATGGAAGAAAGTCCTATTAAAGAAAAGAAAATCAGGCTCAGCCTTGAAAAGTTACATGCATTTTACGATTAGTCAGTCTTTTATTAAATAGTATTCATTGACTTGGTGCAGTATTTTCTAAAGGTTGACCTAGTTACCGTCAAAACAGACAGCTGTGCTCCAAAAACTTAATTCCCTCTCTCTCCAGTAAAAAAAGTCAAAAACCAAAGACATCTCTTAAGGAGGTCAGTCCAGCTACAGGAACAGGTGGAAAAACTGAAGAAGGGACACTGAAAACCAAAGCTCTGAAGAGACAATTCCCTTTTTGGCACCTAATCCACAAGGGAACATACATGAAGCCCTGAACTGACAAACTGACAAAAATTCCTTACTTAACCTTGCCCAGGACTAAATGCAGTTTTGGTAAGTGGTCAGAAAGTCAATTCACTCTACGCTCAGAAAACACATTCCTTGCATCATTTCCAAAGCAATTCGAGTATTTGAAAAACAAATGAGTCCTGTTAAGATTCTTTCACTTAGTATTTTTTTGCTTTATAGTTTATTCATTATTTCCATGTAATTCTTATTACTAGAAACGAGTTAGAATCATGAAGCACGCTATTATTTACCCTCAGCCTTCTTGTAGGCTAAAATCCAGGAGCTACGAATGATAAAGACATACTGTTTTCCTCGAAGTACAGAAGTATGAGATGCTAACTCCGAATCAAAAGAAGAAAGACAAATGTAATCAGAAAGATACATTTTCATATTATAAAGTTATTGTAAACAGAAAAAAAAAAATCCATGAGAAAAGTTGAGGAAAGTCTGGATATGGATGAGTAGAAGTAGGGTGATCTTGAAGTTCCTTGACAGATGACATTTAACACTTGAATTGTTCTGTAGTGACAGGTGTTTTATAAATAAACTCAAAACGTGCACTGTGATATTAAGAGTTAAAGCTCTGACTTTTGTACATACATTTATTCACACACCTACAGTGCTTAAAACAACACTCTTGTAACACATTTTTCTTCTTCCATCAAGTGATGTCCGCAGGCAGTCTTCAAAACTGACTAATCTTGGCATGAAGAGGACTTTTTTTTCTTAAATCTGCTTTTCTCCCTTTGGTTGACATCATCAGAACTCTCATTTTAAAGGCCCAGTTCATCTGACAGTCCTGGTATCAAATTAAAGCAGCTATAAAGAGGACACGATGAAGCATATGTTTATATTTCCTTCTTCTGAAATGTATTTTAAAATGCTGGCTGTGAGTGTAATTAAATTGTTGTTCAAAAACAAGAGAGATAAATATGTTATCTGACCAGACAGGATTGATGTACAGAAACGTCAAGTTAATTTTCAGTTTAGCTTTAGTTGAGGAGGTTGTTTTTATTATTTCAATCTAACCACAATTTGTTGTTTTGAGAAGTTCACTGAAGGAAGGAGAAAATCTGAGGCAAGCTCTCAAAAAATATGCAAGACACTTCTACTATGATTAAGTTATAGAAAGTAAAAAAACCAAAACAAATAAAACAAAACTTAGAATTGTTTAAATATAACTACCTTCATGTAAGAAAGATTTACTTCAAGATAACTTACAAAATTTACTTAGAAGGATCTGTAGAAAGAAAAGATAAACACTTGTGCTTCTTGCATTGAATTATAAATTATACTGAATTTAGTTAGAAAGAACTTGATTCTAAATTGTTCCAATTGTTCATATTTTTTATACTTATTGGAGGAAAAAAGCAAGTACATTTCTGTCTTTAACATAGAAATACATTTGAAATACGCTATCTTCCACTTATAATGTCACATACCTTGAAAAACAAAACAAATGTTTGCTACAAAAAGTCAACAGTAAATTTTTTTGAAAAAAACATTCATAGATGTAAAAAAAAAATCCCCTAAATGTTTAATTTTAAATAGTGATTACATCACCTACAGCTTACTGTGTTTTTGTTAATGCCATGCGACAATCTAAGAAAATAAACCACAGTTTTCGTATATCAATGTAATATCTGTTAAAAAATACTGATCTCAACTTATCTATTGTTAGTTTACAAATAAAAATGTAGATAAATGTAAATTAGGGTAAGCAAAGCATGCAAATCTATAGATTCTATATCTGAATTCCTAGATTAGCATTAAAACCAATCACCGCAACAAATACCTCAACAGTATGCCTTGTGTGCAGAAAGGAAGCGATACTGAACATTCAATGCCACAACTGTAAGGTTTTCGGAGAAGCACCTGTGGCAGTTTCAGCAGTTTCTATATGGAATGCTCCCCCTTTCTAGGATTACTTGAAAAAATCAAGTCAATTCGAATTACGTAGCTGTAAAACATTGACATGTGTAGTTTTTACAGTTTCAGAATCTTCTGTTTGATTTAAACGGGCAATGGTGCATAAACAGGAAACTTATACCATAAGGGATCACATATTTGCAGGCAACATTAAGATTAAAAGTTACATTAACATACATGAAGTGCTGTAGCACATTATTCAATATGTAAGCCATTATCATGTGACCACCTTAACAACAAGATACTAAGCCTTTTATGCCTTTAAAGCATTATTACTTTCATCCTGAAACCAATTTGTCAGTTCTTCACTGAAATTTATATAGAATGGATTAAAATTACCGGTCAACTCATGGCTTCAATTACTTTAAATTTAGTAGGCTGTATCTCAAAAGAATTAGTAACTATTCCTATACAAAAATTAGCAGATACAAGGATTAAAACAAAACAAAAGAAGAAAGAGAAAAAAAAGATCAGAACACTAAAACGCCCACAGTGAGAAAAAAAACGTTTCCTATATAAACATCAGTATACTAGTCTAAAATTTCTAAAGCAAAATAATTTTAAAATACTGAACTTTAAGTGTTTTAACCCTTTGGTGTCCAAATACAAAAGTTGCGAAATAGTTTCAAACTTTTTTTTTCCAGATACCAGGAGAAAAATACTCTTAACTAAACAGACGTGTGTCACTGCTGGGGATAGCTATAAAAATTCATGCTAGAATTACATACTGGGCATCTACAAAAGCGCAAGTTGGTGCCAAGTTTTTATTTCACAACAAAACATGTGGCAGCTGAAATTATTTCACGACTTTTAAAAACAACGGTGGAGTTTCTCAGAACAGCCTCCAAAATCATAGCAAGGCGAATATACTGGAAAGAAGGAAGCTCTTCTTTGTGAAGCCACTTTTTTCACATCAAAATCAAGGTTCTCTACGAATTATGCAGCTATAATCAGCTCCTAGATACTTCAACTCATGACTGAGCAAATGCTGGCAGAAGAAAGAGTTCATTAACCATGGTAGGCAACATTAGGATTACTACAAGCATCACCATCAGGTGGTGATTTATTGCTGTACCTGTATTCCAATTTATGCTTTAAGGAAGACCTCAAACAGTGGACTTTGATTTTTCATTCTCTCTTGTAAAAGTGATTCATATTTCCAAGTAAACTTTTGCCTGAATAATATAGGTCTATCTGACTTTGCCTGGTATCAGCAATCAACAATATTTTTAAATTCATATCCGATTATGTAAGAAGTGATTCCTAAACACAACTCACAAAAGGAAGGTATGAAAGACTGTGGTAACTCTTAAAACAACAGTCTGGTTGCAATACAGCATAACAGAAAAGATCTTCCCTATTAAAAGGAAAGTAAGTATTTCCCAGATCACTAGCAAAAATGAATTCCAAATAAGCACCTTTTTAGTACTGCAGCCACTTTAACTCCAAAGACAATATAAGAGAGTTACTTAGCCAGCCAGCTTTACGAAAATGAAAACTATCATTGCTGCTGCTATCATATTTCTAGAAACAGACCAGGAACTGCAGATAGTTGCTTACAATAAGGAAAGCATTATGGAAGACTATTAAGGAAAGGTTCAGTGCAAACTCTTGACTTGAAAAGATAAACAGCCTTGCAACGCAGATTCTGTCAAGATGTCTTCTAGTAGTAAATAAAATCACGTTATTTCTCCTCAACATACCAACCGAAAACCAATGATAGACTAGAACTAGAAAAATTAAGAAAGCAAGCTTCTCTCAAATGTGCCAAGCACAGAAGAAACTTCAAGAGATTTAGTACAAGAAGTATGGACAGCAAGAGCTTGGGAATGAAACTAAAGAAGAGGTAAATGAATTTTAAAGTATTTTTGTGCCAAAAGGGGGAAAAAAAATCAAGAATGAAAGGACTAAAGGTATTAGATGGATTCATTATTTTCCCATAACAGGCATGGAGAGGGAGACTATCAAACGACACAAAATTTTAGTTTTTGTGACAAAAATAACTTGATGTTCTTACTCAAGCAGACAGAGGATCTTTCGGATTAAGAAACCACTGAAGTGCATAAGACCACTTTAAATGAGCTTCACAAAAGAGTTTTTTAACCTAGATTTTTCTCCATTTAAAAGAAAAATTTATCTACCATGTATGAGCAACATCAAGCAAAATACAAGAAGGAAACAGAAGAGTAACGTTTTCCCTAAGTGACAGCTGCCAAAGCTCTTCCAGGGTTTGTGAAGCCACCATGCAATGAGATATATTTTGTAACCTGTAGCACATGACACACATTATAAAACTTTTTCTGGCCAACCTGAGCATGTTCTGGGCCATGCCACAACTGCTTCATGTTTTTTGTCCAGGTTCAAAGGTACTAGTTGAACTATGATCAACTTTACTGAAAAGACACAAACTAGAATAGCAAACGAAATCCAAATCAACACAGCAGAAGGTAGAGCAGACGTGTTGCAAGTAACAATTCTCTCATCGCATATCCAGTCAAAAAGTATCAGCAGATCAAGCACAGCACCCGTACAGATCATCACCACCATCGATGTCTGGACTAACTATCAGAACTAATCAGACTATTGTATTTGGGAACACACTGCACCCTTGTTTCTTCCACTGTATCTAACTTGTGCTCTGGCCAAGTTCCACTTCATAACACTTTGGTTTCTCCACCTGACTTCACCGCACCCAGGTTTCTGTTGCCAGTAACAGCATATCTTGCAGAAAAAAATAACCTATCTGAAGGGAAGCTGCACAGTGAACATTAGCACAGTACTGTATGTGAAGGCAGATCACTCCAAACAAAAAATCCTAACATTCCTGTCAGAAATCTGAGCTATCCTCATTTAAAAGTCTTGGTAACACTACTATGTTCCTTATCCAGCTCTTTTGGACTGAAGAAAAGCAGAGAAACCAGTCCTATAAATCACAAAGGTTTGCCACTAATGAATAAGCTCCCCTATCAAGCTGACCCATATCCTGTGAACTTCCTTTATGTTCCAGAAAGGTCACAAAATATCACTCCTTTAACAAAGGATTTAACTTTATTCATAAAAAGTACAACCTCTCACATTCTTCCCTATTTCTGAACTGATGTCAGTAACTACTGTTGTTATTCCATCCCCACTAAGAATAATCCACTCTCAAACCGAACAGGAACTCAGCGGTAAGAGTTCGCCTCAGCTTCCTGCAATTATTCAGAAGAGCTGTAACTGAAAACTACCCTGTTCCATCCTGGTTTACTGTAAGACTGAGCCTCTCTCTTCCACCTTTTGATATATCACTTATCCATGCATTTATGTTCTGCGTCAGTATTTCCAAACCTTTCCTTCAGACTAAACCCAAATTACCGCCTTACTTCATGGTCACAACCTCCTAGAAACCACGTTAAGTTCTTCTACAACAATGGCAATCAAGCGTGAAACCAAACATGGAAGAAATTAGCAAGCTTTACTTGTAGTTATTTTGCAGGAGAATTAAGAGTTTCACCACTGAAATGTACAAACCACTTTGACTTTGCCTTTCCATAAGAATGTACGTTAAGCGGGGAAGGAAGAATGGATTCCAACACCTGTAGCCTCCATACTGCAGAATGGTCACTACAAGACGACTACAGTGACGGCCCTTAAAATGCTTGTTATATACAATGATAAAATGCTTATTATATACAATGAAAGAAGAACAGCCACATTTTTTCCTCAACTATACTGCACTGTCTAATAATGCAACAACAGTAGTTAATCCAGCAATTTAACTGCTCTCTGGAGAGCAATCGAGTTTGCAAAAAGAATCGTGTATGAAGTAGTCTGAGTTTGAAAAGTACCAAACAGATTATATAAATATTAATATACTAATTAACAGATAAGAACCACTCGGTTGAAAAAGCACCTAAATCCTATTCCTAAACAAATAATCAGTAAGAACCCAAAGCATTATTCTCAAGATGAGGTTAATGACCATAAGAAAGTAGGATGTTGATTCTTCTACACTGAATCAATGTAGCAGTACAGCTTCTGAAGTAAAAAGATGACATAGTAATGGCACTTCACAAGTACATTAACACCAGAAATGGACTGCAGTTCAATATTAGAAGTTTGGTAGTTAAGTTAGCTAGGTAAGAAAAACACACAATGTTAAAAATCTACAGGTATCTGCTAAGATTTTAAGAAATCAGGAAGAAATCCAGAAACTAATGGAGGACATCTCTGAACCCTGAGGCCCTTCAAGAGAATAGGCCATGTTAAATTTCCCCTCCAGACTGAAAAGGAACTGAGGGTTTACGACACAAAGGAATGGCTGATTTCTGCGTTATCATCATGAATTCTACACATCACTCTTCCTCTGTCTCTTCACTAAAGGTGACTGAATTTCAGAAAGTCAAGAAGTCTCAAAAGTACAAATGAGAAGAACAAAAGCTGAGATATCACAGGAGTGATCATAATTAAAATGTGAAACAGACTTCAAACAGAAATGTATGACAAGAATTTCACAAAGGGCTAATCTAGCAGCACTAAAAAAATTCACATTCGACCGATTTCCGTTATGGAGGATGGAGAGCAGTTGTGAAGAAGAAAAAAGAAATTAATGATGCTTTTTTTTAAACAACACAATGCAGTTCGTGACACACAAATTTGCAAAGAAGAATTAAAATTAAGCCACTGCCAAAGAATGTGAATAAAGTTTTTGCTGAAAAACTAAATACCAGAGATAGAACATTTCTGGCATTATAGGAGGAGTGAATTTACACATTCAAATGAATGCAAGACAGCTTTAATGAGAAAGCGGCTGAAGCGTCTGCCTAAACTAGATCAACATCACGATATGAATCTATCATCTGGTAGAAACAGATGTACTGGTATATTTATCCCAGCATGTCAGTTATTCTCCCCGAACCTGGAGACCAGAGTATAAGAAACCAGAAAGGAAAGCATCTCTTCGGGGTCTTGTAGCATCCAATCACGGTATACAAATCAATTTAAAAAAAAAAACTTAAGATTTCTGGCAGGGAAATAAAAAAGCTTTCCTATGCTACTATTGAAGCATTTTGATCAACAAAACTCTGAAGCAAGCAAGTACTTGTGTTCAATTGGATGGATGCATACCAAGCCACATCCTGTCCCACAAGTTACACTTCTCTTTATCCCAGGATAATACAGTGTTTGAAACTCCTCTCCTAGCTCTAAATCAAGTCACTAAGGAATACACAACTGTTCAAATGACAGTTGCAGAAGAATTTTTATTCAGAAATAAGTGGACACAATGCACAAATGACCTGCATGAAAACAGACATGAAACCGGAAGAAGTTCAAATCAGTATAATTAACAGCTGCATCTGCTTATTGTTTTTTTTAATTCAACACTGTCCTGTGTTTATAGCTGAATTTTATCTTTATAGATACGCTGTGATGCAATCTATGAAACTATATTAACACCCAGCATTTCAAAAAATAGCGTAAAAGAGCAAAACAAAACATGGCACCAAGAAGGCTTTTCCTCCATAAAGAGCTGTGGACACTTGTTTGTCACCATGATAAATAATACACAATTAACCATACAGAAATTGCATAATTATGCTTTTTAGTGAAAATCCAGCAGTTATTATGGATACTTTAAAAGGTACTATCCACATTAAAAAGTCAGTTACACAGCAAACCTTTTCACTCATATGAGGACATTGTGACCACCTGCTTCCCCCTCTTCAAGGGTCCATGAATACCATAGTTAGTGGAGCAACCATTTTTATGGCTGTAGGACATACTGTGCACAGAATATGCTTCAGCTAAAATGAGAAGGTAAATACCACAAAAAAAATCAAAATATTTTCACTAGGGTACAATTATTATTTTTTAATATTATTAAAAATTTACACAGGAATAGAGACCCAAATTCTCTCTCATCAATTAGGAAAACAATGCAACAACTTCACGAAATTTAGAGACTGCAACATACTGTATTTCTCTGTCAAAGCAATACACTAACAAGCCTGAAATAAAGTAAACTAAAACAATTCGAGTGAGGCAATTTTATTCAAACTAAAATTTTTACTTTTATCCTTATTGGACTATTTGTCAATATTCTTTGGCTTCCAATATAACCAAAGGAGTGAATAAAGTAGAAATACAGTAAACACTGGTATCAAAGATTACACTAGTCCAAGTACTTAATTTTAACAGCAGTATTTCAATAATCCCTCATTAATAAAAAATACATTTCTTGCAATATTACACTACTGATTACTAGTGTTCGTGTAATAATGAAATCTTAACATCCCTGTTCTACTTTCTGTAAAAAAAATAGGGATGGTGCAATACTTGATGTATACTATAAATATCAGGTATAAGCAGTATATTTGACTATTTGCAGTCACAAGCGATATTCTCTGCACCTTCACCTAACTAGACTTTGATACCGTAACTATATGAAGAAATAAAGAAAAAATTGGATTAGAAGATCTAATCCCCATTTAAAAAGGCCATATTCATGATCAGTACAGATCTGTACTTTAGTTCTAGTTAGTGCTTAGTTCTGTATTTAATAAAATTCTTGCTTGGTCCTATATAGTCAGTTATTATTTCAGTTAATATATACAAATTAGAACTCAAATATGTGGATAAAATCCCTCTCCTTTTCTTCTAACTGAAGCCATAAAATAAAGGAATCAAAACTTTCAGAGCATCTACATTTTCAAGATGTTACAAAAATCATGAAATCAACATAACCATTAGAGATATGGGGCCAGTTTTCAAACCCAGATAACCCAAAATTAATCGATGTCAAGAGCATATACGTGGATTTGGCCTAATTTAACATACTGAGCCTGGAAGCTAGATTTTATGGAAAAAAATCCTCACCCCAATCAGGCAATAGCCAGCTCGCTCAGTTGACAGGGCCAAGTCCTGACCCTCTAAATGACTAAACATGGGTTGCCCACCAGCCTATTCCCTTTGCATCCCTGATTTTACCATTTCCTGGAGAGGATCTGGTATTTAATTACCTATAGAACTTGTGACAAGTCTATCCTACTGAAACACAGATGGAATTCTAAGTTAGAAAACTGAGAATTCAAATTATTTCCTGTTCACTAAAACTGCTATAAACCTACGCTACTTCTGCTGCAAATAGCTTTGGTCAAAGGCAGATACTGCTCTCCAAGTTTTACAGAAATGTTTTGCCTATGGCTTGCAAATACGATGTTTAAGAAGCAAGATTTTAGTTCTGTAAGTTAGAGTTGCAGCCACATCTCCAACCCCAGTTACTCAGCTACTTATTTTGAAAGTCCTATGGATGTAACACGTCCTCTTCTTTACATCATACTCTTAACTCACTCATTTCACATTGTTTATGCAGTTCCACAACTTCTCTTTTGATTGGATACTTTGTAAAAATCACAAGATTACATACTAATTGATGATGATAATTAAGGTTTGCTCAATTCCACAGTAAATTTAAATCCAAGTTTATCTTAAGATATCTGAAAGTGAGTGCAAAATGGGAATTTATAAATTTAAGACTGATTTCATGAACTTGTCAATAACTGAGACAGCTGCCTAAGTTATTTCAGTGTCATTTTTCTATGAAGCGATCTCTTCATATAAAGCAATTTGTTCATTACTATTAACTTAAAAGGTACTATATTTCCTGAATACTCTATGATACCATTGAAAGAGTTAAATTTTATGGTAGATTTATCAGGGCAGCATTACAAAAACAGTAAGATGGAAACCAAAGGGTAAAACAAGAAATTAACTACATGATTCTTACTTCACTTACAACTTAAGTTTCATATTGCAGGTTAAAATACAGTAACTAGTTACCATTTAAGATAATAATGCTAGTTCTAATTAAAACAAATTGCTAAAGTATTTACATTATTATAAGCCATAGAGCTTATACTCAACATTTCTAGGTGAAAACTGCATCCATTTTGTCCATGCTGTAAGTTGCAAAAGTTTGTGAGATTTTCTGAATGTTTTTGCAGTACATAAACCTTTAAAGAAAAAAGTTAACACGGCAAATACACAATATACTAACAAACAGTATTAAACTAATGGCTAAGAGTGTGTGAGAGGCTATTTTGCACATAATGTTGCTTTTGCATTGTTTTCTGTATTTATTCACCGGTGCAAGGTGTAAATTTGTTGTAAAAAATAACTACACGCTAGATAAAGTGTACAATTTGGGGTCATCTGACAGAAGAGTGATAAATACTTTAATATATCAGATATAAATGCAATACTAATGTAGCACACTGGTATCAGTTAAGTAAAATAAACTTTATTACTAGACACGCAAAACATCTTGGGCAGCATTACAGTTGAACATGTCTAGCTGTCTTTTAATCAGGTGTCTGCTGTTTTGACTTTTCTTTCTGACATTAGTATCTATGTTTACTGGTCTAAGTTAGTTAACTAAACACACAACAATCAACAACAAAAAAAATACCTCACTTACTCTATTTGCGCACCATGAGCCACAAGGGCACTTATGGAATCCATACTACCAGACCGTGCTGCTTTATGAATAGGAGTTTCACCAACATAATCCTGTAAAGACAAACTACATTTTGTCAAGCATAATCTTACTAAAAATTAAAATCTTATTTTTAAATTACTCACTTTAATTAAGAAACAGATATATAAAAGCAGCATTTATTAGCTAGCAAATGCATCAGATACTTTATTATTATTTTAAAGTTTGCAGTAGGCTGTCACGTACATTAGATATTTAACAAGAAATAACACTAAGGGCATCTAACTCACAAGGTAAGCCTTATCCAATAACTAGGTAATCAGCAGGCATATTCAGAAAAACTTGTTAAACCCCCCTGCAACATACCACTATAACAAGTTACTCTAACACTTTTATTTCCTAGCACTTTTGTTTCCCAAGATGTCGGACTGAGCAAGCCATCTTGAATTCAGAAGCAGCATGGCCAAGTTTGTGGGCCTATACTGCTTTCAGATCTTGCTGACACACTTACGCAGTACTGCACTGCACCATAAATACTCACCAGGTGAGGAATATGTATGCATAACTCTACTGTAATATAAGCATGCCCGGAGTTCACAGGCCAGCTCTCTCCTGGGACATACACATTGACTCATGTCCTATACGCTTTTCTTTTCCGACTATCTTTATCCATTTACGTTCCATTATTGTAAACCAGCACGTCCAATCATTTAATCTTTTCATATTATGTGCAAACATACTGGGAGTAGTGTACTGCTTTTCAGACAACTCCCCTCTACAAACTATCTTCACAGATAACAGGAAGAATCTGCAGCAATTTTACAAATGCAACTGGCAAGCAGCAGGTAAATACCATGATCTACAGGCTGCAGATGAAATTCAGTACTTGCAATTAACCATTAGTATTAAGAACCACAGAGAAGAATCTGTAATGAAATATGGCCTTGAAGTACCAAGTAAATATTCAGCTACTGGTTTGTTATGTGATTTAATTATCACAGTCCTCAACACTTCCAATGCATAGCAAGTTTTTTCCTTTCTTCCCCATCCTCTTTCTTTCTCTCCAAATTTTTGACAGACTTCACTTGTCTGCTCCACTGATATTAAACATGTACTAACTGTATGCGCCTAATTTTTGATTCCACATTCCTTTTATTAAAATACCAACACTAGCTATTAAAGTAACACAGCACCTTTACTGACTTGCGTCTTCATACACAACGGTATGAAATACATCAGGTACTTTAGTTCACACCTAACCCTACGGTACTGGTTATGCTTTAGCTCTAATTGAAATGTGAATATATTCAAAATACGATCATACTACCATCTTGATAGATAGAAGGTAGCAAGTGTTTTAAATTGTCTGCCAAGCTTCTGAGAAATTAAATCACATCTTTTAGACCATGTAAATATAACTTGAAGATTAATTTTGGATTATATACTCTCTATTTTCTACTTGCCAATTTTATTTCATGATAAAATATTTTTATAACAAGTCACAAATTCACTGAGGGTAAGCCAGTTTACCAGTGCTTAAGACATATATTCAGCCAAACAGTGAACCACCTAGCACCCCCAGCAGGGAACAATAACGGTACCAGACAAAGTTTACCTTCTTATAAACTAAGGAAAATTGCTGAGGCCGATACAAAGTTTGGGGACAGAAAAGAGCAGAAAACTCCTTGGAGTCCTAAGTGATTAGAAAACAGCTACACAGCCCTTCTTCCAAAATGGCTGTCTGTAGCTGATGAATAGAAGACTGCTTTTCAATGAAGTGTATATAGTTTCTCCTATTTATAACTTTTTCTTGAAGTTTCAGGAAGACAGTGGTGTTTAACAGAGGACACAATTTTATTAACTGTCATACGTGGAAATTCATTTGGCACTTATTTACCCAGGAAGGTTTTCTTCATCGTGTAATACATTTTCCCATCATGGAAGCTGTCTTCGATTCATCATTTTGTTAGTGTTTCCTTTCCCCCCTACCTTTTGTTAAAGAGGTAAAAGTGTAGAAAAGAAGTGATTTGCCTCTTTTGTTCAGCATTAGTATTTATAGTCCCAACCCTAACTTAAAAAATAATAATTCAATATAAGGTTCAGTTCAGGGAAAGGCAGCTCAACTAGCCATGCATATGACAAAAATCTTTACTAGCCCCACAAACCTAGCATGTTGCCCCACAAAAAGATCTAGAGAACTTAACTATGAAGTATTGCTGTGGGGAAACGCTCAAAGGATGAAAGAAGACCTTTGCAAAAGGACTCCTCACCACTGCATTACAAGAATAAGCTAAGCTCATAGCAGCCAACAATCCTGTCACCAACAACCAGAAAAATGTTAGTATCTCAGAAGAGAATGTATGTCTTGAGAAAGGCTTCTTTCAGCCACTGGCCCAGAAAAGCGTGTCTCTTCTCTACAGCTAAGGAACTGAGAAAATACTTCAGAGAATGACAAGACTATATAGATTTAGATTTTTATAGCATTCGTTTTAATTATGGCACCTAAGTTTCAGTCATCACTAATGTTATCTTCTTTTGAAGTTCTCCTATGGGACCAAATCTATTTGCACTGAAATAGTTTCTGAAATAGTCTCCTAGCTCTACGAAGAAGAAATTCTCTCTGGGTTATGAGCTAGACTGAAAGGCGGGAGGGGGAATCTCCCACTGAAAAATGGCTTTAAAGTTTACTTGTTTTTCAACACATCCAAAATCATGCATAAAGAGGAAAATAAAGTACTCTATGAGGCTCAGAACAATTCTGTTTTGATTCAACAATTGGAATGGATGGCACCAAACAGAAAAAGCAATTTAACAGAGATTTTTCCAAGTAGCTTCCGCGAACAGTCTGGGGTCTAGATTGCTAGCACATTTTCATGCATAAGACACCTCTTCCCTATCTCTTTTTTGGCTATGTGGAGCAAACTGAATTATTTTATTTTGAGGGGCTCTACAAATTCCTAATTATCCTTGATAATACCTCACAATCCTTCGAATTGTTCACAGTTCCCGTATGTGCTTCAGTCTGACATAATCCCTTCTGTAATAATATTCCAGGAAGGGAAACATCAATAACTTGTACTGGCTGCTTCATATCTAGAGCAGAACTTTTCAGGGTCCCATTCACCCTTCTAATGTAACGCTGCACCAACAGCCCAAACTTGTCTCACAATCCAGAAGTTGCATTGTAAAAAAAAAAAGAGCAGGAAGACCAATTAGGTTTTATTAATTTAGCATTCAAGATAACACAAGTTTCTTTGCTTCTGTGAAGACTAAGTATTTTATGTACAGTGCTGAAGAATGACAAAGAGAGTCATGAGGCATCACAGGCACATTTATTTTTTGCAACTCCCTGCCGCTGTCAAATGTCTTCCTCATTTCCCTTGGAGGAGCACGACTATACTTTTGCAAAGACACGGGCAGTCTTCTCCAGCTTGGGGTCATGACTAGATTACCTTTGACTTCTATTTCATTTTACTGAGTAAGCATCTAGTTTCCTTCCTTATTCTCTTTTTATTTATGTGGCTGAAGAGTCTTTTGCTTTTTTGGCTTAAATTTTCTCAGTACATCTATCTCAGCTTGATTAATCAGTTTGCATTTCCTCACTATGCTGCTTAACCTCAAAAGACATTTCCTCTACTGATTAAATATTTTTCTCAAACTCTCTGCTTATTCCCAGGCCTCTTTTAGATGTGGGGTTTTTTTTTAGTTCAGTCCAAAGCCATTTTTACTCTATTTTCCTGCTTTCTGTCTTTTTGGGATCCAAATTTCTGTTGGCTTTAGGATCTTCGTTGAACTTAGAGCAAGTTTCCCATTTTGTTCTCCAAGTTCCAAGTCCCTGGATATGATTCAGTTAATTTCACTCACTGGTACCTTTACACCCCTGTCATTTAAAAAAAAAAAAAGTTACTTACCTGTAAGTATTTCTTTTTAAAACAAAAAGCCCCCATGCACATTTACACTGAAAGCTTTCAACTATGTGTACTGGTCTTGTCTGGGATAGAGTTAGTTTTCTTCATATTAGCTGGTATGGTGCTATGTTTCGGATTTGTGACCAAAGCAGTGTTGATAACACACCAGCGTTTTAGCTGAGTGGGCTGGGGGTGCAAAAGGAGCTGGGAGGTGACACAACTGGGACCGCTGACCCAAACTGACCAGAGGAGTATCCCATACCATATGACATGATGCTCAGCAAAAAAAGCTGGGGGGGTGGAGTTTGCCAGGGCTGTCATTGCCTGGGGACTGGCTGGGCATCAGTCAGCTAGTGGTGAGCAATTGTGGGATTTTTTTGGTTGAGGTGTGGGGTTTTCAAAAATTTTTTTATCATCACTTGATTTTCTTGGGTTTGTTTTTGTTTCCTTTTTTACCTATTAAATTGTCTTTACCTCCACCCACGAGTTTTCTCACTTTTTCCTTCCGATTCTCTCCCTCAAGCCACCGGGGGGGTGGGGGTGTGTGTAGAGCAAAATGAGCAAGTGGCTGTGTGGTGTTTAGGTGCCTACCGGTGTTAAACCACAACACTACACACTTGTAAAATGCTTCTAGTATAGATATCTGACTAAGACACAGAAGCACTATTTTACCTGACAACAAATAAAAACTAACTCCATTCCTTAACTCAACTGACTGAATTTCAAGTTCTATCAGCTAATCACATTTCCACAAGCTGTTCCAATTTCTTAGACCCAGCACCCTACCCTTTCTGAAGCCAAGAAGTAGAAGCTGGAGAATATTGAGCATTTTTTTCCTCATTCTTTGCTGAAAATGCTTTGAATTCATGATGGTTTCTCCTGAATTTTGAGTACAGATGAGAACCGATGGAATATTTTTATCTGGATTTAGTCCAAATTGTTGTTTAAAATACAAAACTGTAACATACCAGAGGAATGAGTGTTTTCTTCCTCCCCACCAAGGATAACAGCATGTTTACAGTTCTTGCTAGCATGGGTAGTCTAACCCTCCTAAATCTATCTGCCATCACTGCCACATGATGGTAACTGGGCTGGATGAAAAATAAGTTGGCATCACCTGTAAGGATGCAGTATTTCTTATCCCTTAAGACAGGCCACACAAAACTGGTTTTTTGGCCTATCAACACAGGCAACATACAACAGAATGTTTACTATGCTAAGGCTAGAGGGAAAATATATTTAAATGAAGTAATAGGCTTTTTTAATCAAAAGTACGTCACACTGTTACAGTGAACTAGAGCAGGCAGGTAGATGAATGCAGGTCTTGAGTCACATTATTAAGAACTATTAGCAGGCACTGCCCACTGAAGGAAAAAAATAAATAACAGGACTTCCTCTTGAGTCCACTGCTGGGCAGGTCATTGCTTGACACTTCAGCTTTCTCCTGTGAATTTTTATGGTGATCCTGGGGGGGGAAGAACTGCCCACCGATCATAAAGAGAGAGAGATGGTTCTAGCCAGCACATACAGTTATGTAACAGGGCTGGGCACCACAGGATATACTCACGGAACTTATCTGGGGAGCAAGGTACAGTTGGGACAAGCGGTTTTCAGCATTTGTCCTTCATAGCTGCTGCCTGAGAAATGTCCTGGGCAACTGTCACCAGCACTGAGATATGCATTTCCAAGTTTTCCTAAACTTCAGGGCAGGCAGCATGGGCTACAACACAATACCTCAGGGCAGATATGAGAAAGCGTGCATGCAAATTCTACTGAGTACCAGAGGTTTACGTTAAGACTGAGAGACTCGAGTGGATTCCTTTTCAGAAGCTATCCTTTTCTTTTTCCAGAGGTGATGGGTTAGTCTGTAGCCAATGACCAGGAGTCAGTTTGGAAGGAAAGTTTTACTAGTTTAAATATCAAGTATTCCCAGATCTTTCTCAGCATGTGTTTTGTATCCAGTGTCCATGGAACACTTGTCCTCACACAAGCATTAGCCAGTGACTATGTCTGTTTGAAGTACAGCATCAGTCAGCGAGCTGGAAGGAATAAACAAAATACACATCAGGAAATAGTGCTCCAAAAGCTCAAAAGTGTGGGTGGAAGCCCTAGATGATCACCTGAAAGTGCTTGGAAGTTAAATAAGGAACCAAGATCATTTATTAAGCAGTTCAAATCAAACAAGGATAGTAGAATTTGACTGCAATTCAATAAACAGCTGGAAGGAATTGGGGAGAGCAAAGCATGCATTATGCTTTACATAGCCATGTATGAAACACTCCAAATATCCGTGGGATGAGTTTGCTGCTATAGGTATCACCAAGGTACACGGTCTAGCTTTCAGTGCTCGTGCATGTGAAACCAGCGTGACTGACCAGTTGCATCCTAACAAAGACCTTAAGAGACTTTTTTGATTCTGCTACCATTTTAATTAACCAGCACTATCATTTTATTTATCATCAAACCAAATCTAAAATACCTCTTCTTGTATGTTCAACTAATATTTTGTGGGGGCAAAAAAGTTATTGCATTCAAGTGTAACTTGAGCCTACCATCAACAACATACAAGGCTTCCACAGTGTCAACTCTCAGTACTATCTATATTGGTGTCCTTTGCCTGTCAATACCCGAATCTGCCCTTAGAAGTCTACAGGATACTATCACCAGTATCTCATTTGAAAACTTGAGAACCACAGTACTCTTCCTCCTGTAGAGGACCACAGATCTATTATTTGGATTTGCTCTGGTGACACACCATCAATTTATAAAGACTCCTGAGTCACTGGCTAGTCTTGGTGACTTCTTTAAGCTGGAATGAGCTTCCTGTCTACTTTTAACTGCGTATCATACTGCCTTCTGCTTTCCTTTACAGTCATCTGCAATGTTGCCCTCAGCCCATGGAGAGATCTCTCTGTACTCTTCTCCTCTTCTTTTGGGGGCTAGCTGCTACTTTCTTCTTTGCTATAACCTTACTCACTAGATGTGATTTTTTTCCCCCATCACGTTCCAGGACAGCAAGCTTGTTCTTCAACTCCATTTCAACCTCACTGGTCAGTTCTTCTCTTTATCCTCATAGTTGGAAACTTTCATTCTTCTCATTCATTCATTTTCATTCATTCTTCTCTTCTCATTTAGCAGATATTTGTAAATCTTTATTCTGTGCATGCCATGTTTCCTCTCTAATCACCATTTCTTTACATTCTTACCTGGTCTCCAGATGCATTTATAGTTCTTGTATTTTCTCTTCTGAAGATTCTATCACTATGGAGCAATAACTTATTGCATAAGTTACTTTTGTCAGGTATCAAGGAGAAGATGCCATCTATAGCCTCTGCATCCAGTCACCTTCATTGTTTCTACAATTCTCCTGGTGTCTCACAGCTGTTCTCAATGCACCAGCCTTCTTTTCTGAAAACTCAACACAAACTTCCCCATTTCTTATTTTTGCATAGATTAAAAAAAAGAACCAAACTCTAAAAAATGCAAATGTTCAACTTCTTCAGCAGACTTAGCTTAACTCTACTGCATATAAAACAGAGTCTGGCCATTAAATATTTTAAGAAGAGTATGATGCAAGATTTAACAGACCAGACGTTTTACAGATGCTGTGCTATATTACAGCTTTTAGTAAATGCATATGCTGTAGTATTAATTACTCTCATAGAATATTATAAATAATAATTTTGAGTACTGCTATAAAGGCACACGTTATGCATGCCCAGCACATGTAATAGATCCATTCAGTACTGCAAGCATTTTCTCCAAAAGCATGATAGTTTTAAGCACTTGATTCTGTTACTGTACCAGAGTACAACAGTCCTTTACAGGAATTTTGCAATATTAATGCCCTCTCTGCTACCAAATAAATAGTTGTAATGGAAAATTATATATATAAAAAATTTTTTGAAAAAAAAATCAGCCATTCATTGCTAGTAAACTACATGTTTCTGATCTATTTGCAGGAAGTTACTAGAAAAGCTTTAAAAATAATCTAAAAGGGGAAACAGTATGAAACTAGATGCACCTTAAAATAAACCATGGCAGACCTTACTAGTTAGATGTATGACTAAATCATGAAGTACCACAAAGGTCTCATGGTTCTGTAAGTAGTGGTGAATTTTTCAATTCTTCGTGTATTGAATAAGTAAGATATTCCTCACTAGCCTTTCCCCTAAAGAGGCATTACAATATCAGAGTATTTGCTAATGCTGCCAACACCAGAGCAGCATACCATTTTGTTCAAGAAACAGCAAGATGTCAATTCCTAAAATAAATGTTCTCCAAACCTTTAGTGGCTTAAAGGACATTTATTAGTCCTATCTCTACTATAATGAAAAAGGTCTGTAACTGATAATTAAGTCATTTGACTTCAGCTGATGTTAAAAAAAAAATATCTGTATGTGAATGTAAGGATCATACATGTAGTAAAAAGGGACCAAGACACTCCTTCCAAAACTATATGCAGACATGAAATATGTGTGAATCCATACCTGTTTGTTTATGTTGGCCCCCACTTGAATCAACCAATTCAGGCACTGTGGATGTCCTCCAAAAGCAGCAATGTGGGCTGGTGTTTGAGCAAAACGTGTTGTACTGGCATTTACAGAAGCTCCAGCTCTTACTAACTGCATTAGGCACTCCAGCTTTAAAGACATGAGAGAATAAAACCAAAAATGTTACACAGATGTGCTATGACAATTAGCATGCGCTAAATAAATAAATACATAAAACCTAGAAAAGCTAAACTTACTAGTGAGACTACATGGATGCAAAACAAGAGAGAATATGAACATTAGGATTTTCCGCCTCCTCTGGCCATAGGCCATACCTGAAAAGTACTTAATTCTCACCCCCCAAACCAAATTCCAACATTTATTTTCAGGATGGGGGAAAAGAGGGCATAAATACCTCAGAGCTGACTACAGGAGCTATTTGGGTGCTGATGTGGGGGGGGGGGGGGGGGGAAGAGCTCTCATCCAGCAAAGCTGCAAACAATACTAAACAGACATTATTAGATAACGTTTACCAAAACAAGAGTGTTGTAGGAGATACATATGTGTTCTTGGGAGAGTTTAGAGGAAGGTAAATCAGAAAAACACAAGATTTTAAATTTCTTTAATGTTTCCTTAGAGTGACAGAAGCAGATTACTAATGAAAACTAATACTGTTAATACTATGCTAAATCTATAAAAGGAATAAATTCTTTTCACCGTTTTCCTGTTATTACAGTTGAAGAGCTGTTAAAAACAAAATAGGTTATGTTTGTGGCAATACTAAAAAAGAAAAGCTCTCTTTGTTTAAAAAAAAAAATGCAGCTTTGTCATACTCTATTCTGACTTTTCCCACCATACTAACCAGAAGTGTCAGATATCCAGCTACTGTTTTTAAGTGTTCATAACATCACATTTGTAGAAGCTAGGCAAACCACAGCCACGATGACCTCAATTTTCAAGAATAGTCAAAAAAATGCTCCTTTCCTGTCACACAGTAACATTGTCTTTTTGTTGACAGGAAAAGGGATGCACTATGCTAAAATAAACAGTTTAGTCTAGGCTTCCATTTATTGTGGTTAGAAAACAAACACCACTGCACACACATGCAACAGCAAAACAAAAAACTACCACACTGACTCAGGGCACTGGCTCATATAAAATAAAAATCTACAGGTCAGTCTCTCACAGTTGATGTTTGTTAGCCATACCATAGCTATGGAATAATCATAAAGGAGTGATCGAGTTCAATTGTTTCCTCCCCCCATACAGTTCAAACATATGTGAACCCTATCCTTTAGGATATACAAAAGTACTTTTTTGGACTGTAATGGACTTGCCACTAGACACAGATGTACCACTAACGCACTAATTACGTGATGTAAATGTGCAAGGGTGAGGGTAACTGAAATATTACCATATTAATGAATCTAGCTCCACAAACCTCAACATTACCAAAGACAAAATACCTTTTCAAAAGCAAACAAGCGCTTTTATTGCAAGAAAAATTTGTATTAAAAAAACTGGTCTATTTGTAATATTTGTAATTCTAATGGTAGACTACCCAAATACATTTTGTCTTTGCTAATCTTAGACTTTCCTTGGTGTTCACATGCTAGCACACCTAATATTGCTGTTAACCCTTAATAATTATTAATAATTGTAACACTGTAATTATTAATAAGCGATGTGATGAAAAAACCTCCAGCTACACCAAGAGGTTCCTCTACTATAACTGCAAACAAAAATAAAGTTCAGCCAGTTTTTAAAACAATAGACTTTTAACAGAATTAATTTGAAAACACTTTCAGACAAGCATTACAACTTCAGGAAAGAATAGTATTTCCTGCACAGAAACCAGGCTGAAAGAACTTCCATAATTAGACAGGCATTATAGCCCATCAATTGAAAGGGGAAAAACATTGGAACTGGTTCACCAGCATCATCTTGCACTATTTAAGTCTACTTTATAAGACGGCTAGATGTCACGATTATCTACAACTTCATGTTTAAACGTTGTGGTTTTTTTTTTTTTTCCTTCTTCTTCTTGTGTGCTCCCCCCCCCCGCCCCGGTATCTCTTACAGGGTTTTAACAATGAAGACAACATTTCATCCCATTAAAAGCTTAAGTATGGATCTTCTCCATCACGGCTGTCAGAAAAACCTGCTTCTTCCAACATTATGCTAGAATGAGGTAAATCACTTCCGTGGATAGGAAAAGTCAACATAAAGAAAAACAATACTTTACTCCATTATTTACGCTTGAGATCAGGACACAAAAGCCTGCTTTCATTAAATAACCTTTCAGAAGATATTTTCCACTGTATTGTTTATAGCTAAAGCAGAGGTTAAAATGATTTAATGAAGAAGAAAGACAGGCCTCCACACAGGCCACAACACTGGCAAAACACCAAGGAAGAGACAGGCATTTTTATCTGTACTACTTTTGTTCCAAAAGAAACGGAATGTACGTACTACTATTTTGCTTCCTATAATGTAAACAATTAAATGGCAAAAATAAAAGTAGAAGAGTACAAGCAAATAAATGTGGTCAGAGAAAATAAGTACACACACGCAAGTGGTTAAAAAGAAAAATGAAATTAAGGTTAGTATAAAACAAAGTGAATTAACAGCAACTTCGTTTTTTATGCAAGCCCTTCATTTTCTACCTCTCTGTAGCTTTTTAGATTGTTAACAATTTTACATTCTGACCCATCTTCTCAGAAATCTGCAGAATGCCGGTGTAATTTAGGGCACTATATAATTAACTCTAATTTGAATACAGCAATTCTAATGGGCATTTACACCTCAGGATATGAGCACTTCTCTGCAGGCAGGGAATATCCTGAAAATGCAAACTCCACCAGATACTCAACACAGCAAGTAAATTTGAACTTGCTACTATCTCTAAAAGAATGTTCATACTGTCACTAAAACTCCAGATATTACAACCAGAAACACCGGTTGTAACATCTACCATTTTCAATTGACTTTGCTGGTATTTTACTTACTACTTGCAAGCTGTACGAGTATGTTTCAGAGTAAGCAATTCAAGAATACTGTGTTTTCATTTTTAGTCTTAAGATACTAGTACCAATAAAAACGCAGTATTAGATCAGTATTCCCCCCAAAAGCTATCCTTCCTCTTTCACATATTCATTTCTAACAGAACTTGACTGTTGATGCTACTTCCTTACTGCAGCACATCTGCAACTGCGTGCAAGAATGTAGTCCTGCGTAGCTTTATTCTCAATGATTTTGTACCGTCCTTTGATATAACGAGGGCTTTCTTCTATGTTCAAATTGTGCAATAGGTAAAGGGAAAGAAACATCTCTATACTGCTAAAGTTCACCAGCCCTAGACCAATGCTTGTGTGTGCATGCACGGGCCTGTGTATGTGTATGAACTATTTTAGATTTCACTGCTTACAACAAGTTGTTCCACAAGGACTTCTACTGGAAAGGAACTGAATCAGTTTTGTCATTTCAGACTCCTACAGTGCTGCAGTTGGAACCAATACATGTCTGGCGGACCATGCTGCTAAACGGCCCTCTATCAGAAGGACAGCCGTGACGTGTTCTGTCACCATTTAATTTCTTTCAGGAAAAGAAAAACAAACGGGTGAAAATCCCACAAAATCAAGAAAAACAAAGAAGTGAAGAGGGAAA